ATCTCTAACTGACTGATTATATAAATTTTGATCAGACTAAATGTATTTACCCAGTAGAGCATACCAGAAGGAGCTATTCTGCTCTATGGATAAATACATACTCACCAGAAATATTAGAATAGTAAGAGTCATTCTGAATCTCTAAGGTAGCAATTTACATGTTTAACTCCCCTATTGCCTTTATAGTTAAAACTCACTCTTGAAAAGAAATAAAAATGACAAATACTGTAATGGTTAATGAGCAAGTTTGGATATTCAAACTTTAGCTAATTTTGATGCTTTATGAAAATAATTGGAAAACTATTTTAAGATCTCTAAAAATGTCATAATCATCTTTGAATAATTAAGTACTCTACTAAATTCAAACTACTCATTAGTAAAATGGAAAAGATCTATCTGTTAATTCAAAATTTTAAAACAACATATAAGGAGTCATCATTACTTGTACATAGTAATTTCTTCAAGATATTAATAGCACATTTTTCCATTTTTAAAAAATTAAATTTGACTCATAAAAGGAAGAATAACTGGTTAGTTAATATAATCATATGCATATAATCTATTTTTATAGTCAATGGTAGCAAGCTTTCTTTCAAATGAAAGATAAACAAAAATTTTAAAGAAAATAATTAGCTTTATACAAATATGTGGGGGAAAAAAACCACAGAGCACTCCCAAAAAGATTCAAGTGGTCAAATCAACCAGGAAAAATATAGTGAAAATTACTAATGCATAATAATTTTCTCAACAGCAGTGATACTGAATAATTTCTAATACGCCATTAAACAGTTGGGAATGTTTATCAATAGTTACATCTCATTTTTATATTTTATAAAGAAATGTTCTAAGTGATCACATTTTGTACAGCAGAGTATTAATAATTTAAATAATAGTAATACATTTCTTAGTATAGAAAACGAGCCCTTTCCCATAACAACAATATCCTATAAGAACTGAAATACAGAATTAATAGTATTTATGAATGATGATATTACAAGAACATTTTCAATCAAAGGAAAAATTTCCATGGCAAATGCAAGAATTGTCCACTCTCTTCTCTATCCTAGATGAGGAAATAAAATCCTCTTACCTGTCATCCAGACATCAGACAACCAAGATCTTCATGTACCTCAAGATAAAACCTAAAACTTCAAGACCCAACCCTCAGTTCCCGTTTCACTTTTAAAGCAAAAAGCCTAACTATTTATGGCCCCTTCTAGTTTCAACAATCTATGATTCAAATAGGGGTAATGGCTCTCTTTTTGTGTTCAGTAGTGTCCTGGTGAGGGAATGATTTTACTGTCCCTTTTCTGTGGGGTCCTGCTGCTTCCTCTAAAAGGAAATGAATTACTACAGGATGACAAGGTCACAAAACAAAGTCATTTAGTTTTACAAATCTATTATGTCTTCCAATCTGTTTTATGGGCCTGGTCCTATTATACACCAAGAAAAACCCTAAAACAAACTTTCTTCCTTTTCTTTCTACTGAAAACAATTACAATTTTATGATTGTTTCAAACAGTTTAGGCCATCACTTTTCCCTTTACATGTTTCTCTTTGGGGCTTTTTTGTCCCCAGAACCAATCCATTCCATTTTCTCAAACATACAAAACATTCAGGGACAAGAAACTGGACTTTCCAAAACACGAACTGCTGACAACTGTCAGAAACACTTTACTGGGACATTACTGGCTGTAGCTTCAATGAATTAAGCTTGATTCACTGCGGGTGAATCATTTTCAATGCAGAGCTGTTCAGCAGTAATTGGCCAAGAATCCCTGCTGCGAAAAGCACTTGTCAAATAATGCTTGTTTACAAATATATCTCCAGACAGCAAAAAGTGGCAGTTACTGAATAAGTTCAGGGCCACCTCCAATATTCATAACAGTGGACATGCTTCTTTTACACATTAAATCTATTAAAATTTTCACTTGTTGATACACTTGCCTATATTTATCTTACTTGATCATCTTAGACAAGTTTCTTGCTTAACATGCCTCTAAATTATTTTATAATGCTGTGTCTATTTAACTATAGTTGAAAGGTTTCTTCCACATGTAATTTACGCCTAATGCATGTAATAAGAAACTTAATTTTTTTAATCTTAGATTCAAGCTAAAAAGTAAGTTTTTTTCTTATTGTCCATTATCCAATATATGCTGATTTTCATTGTATATCAATTCAAGCTTCTAGGTATTTATGTTTGGCTTTCCCTAATTATTTTTTATTTCTGTATACCTAAATTAATTTTTTAAAGTGAGTACAATACCTCTTATTAATATAAACTCACATTTATTTCTGCCTTAAATTTCCCCTCTTTTATAATGAGAACATTCATATTATACACTTACATAAGACATATATATACACTATAAGACACACATAGACTATAGTTTGAGAAATCGCTAAGCATTTTATAGGTTACAGAAAACAAAGTATATGAGAGCAAGTTATTAATAGACACAGTGCAGGCATTGAATCTTTCAGTTCCTTAGCTTCCTAAGTCCCTCAAGAAATAATCAAAAACAAACTAAAAAATTCAAATTTAAGTCTTAAATAGACTGCTGTTGTTATTAATATCTTAATACATTCTCTCTGATCAGTTTATAAAAGCACTATTACAGAAAAACAAAATGAAACTAAGGACATGAATCTTACAAAAGAAACTTAAAGATCTGGAATGATATTAATGAAAAGAGCAAAACTGTGTTCGACAAAGATGGGATGAATGAGATAAAGTCATAGATATTAATATATTTTTTCTATTTATGTAAAATAGTAATATGTTCCAATATTTGCCCCAGACAAAAAAAACAAGCTTTTATGTTTAGTCTTCAGAGCACTGGGGAATAATATACCCCTAAATTTTGGTTAGATCCCTGCAACCCCTTCTCACTATAACCCAAGTTTTGATGTGTTCCAGTAGCAATCCAAGCTACTTTCCACAAGATACAGGTTCTGCTTACAATACTTTCTAGAATCAGACTGGTTTATTTCCTTGCTTCCCTGCTTCTTTTTGCCTCTTATTCCTTCCTGAACAGTCTTGGTCTCAGTTTTCATTCAGTATCACCCTCCCAGAGACTTCATCTCTTCCAGTCTCTAAGCAAGAGCTACTACTCTTTTTAACCTCTACATAAGCCTCCTTTACACAATATACCTTGGGGGGGAAATGAAATAACAAGAACATGAAATGATAAATGTGTATTACTATTACTCTTCAAAAACAAGATTCCCTTCCCATGAAACAAGACAGCTAATAAAAGGACTCCTAAGTCTGTCATAATACTCCAGACTTCTAACACAACAAATTTAACAAGAGATGTTAAAGGACTATGACTTCAGAAAACACTTTCAACTCACCGGGTTTATGCATGGAAGATCTTATCTATACATATATATGTGCATACATATATACATACGCATGGACGATCTTATCTATACATATATGTGCATATATGCATATATATCCCCCCACAGTATATATGTGTGTATGTGTGTGTATATGTACGTGTATATATGTGGAGGGAGGGCCGGAGGGATGGATGGATGGAACTGCATATAATCCTTAAATTAGATGAAAAAATAAATTTAGGGCTTAAAGAAAGAAGTTCATGGCAAGGGGTGGGGAGTCTGGGTCTGCCCTGCTTTCACATGGCTCATAGCAAGCTGGCAGAGCTCCGAAACCAGCTCAGCGCCTCTCCCGTGGCCAAGACACTACCCGTGCAAGTCACGAGAACACACACGACTCCGCCGCCGCTGCTTGATCTTTCCGGTCCAGCTTCCCCTGCCCCAGGAGGGGAAGGAATTTTTTTTTAAGGTTCTGTGCTTCACTTAAGACACCGGGAGCCCCAAAGCGGCCCCAGCCTTGCAGCCGATGGGGGTAGGGCTCCTGATGTTTACGTAGTGGAGCTGATCGCCTCGCGCAACCCAGATCCGGATCTAAGATGTGTCCCCCACCCGAAAGGAACGCGCGCCCTTGAGCTGAGACCCGAGCGCAGTCGGGGTGTGAGAGGAGGGACCCCGCGGCAGTGCCCCAGGGGCCGAGGGCTGCCTGCAGAGCGCTGGCGGGAGGAGGGACTAAGCTCCACTCCTGGAGCTCCCGGCACCTGTGAGGCGCTGCTCCAGCGCGCGGCCCTACTCTCCCAGCGCCAGCCGAGACAGTGGTGTGGGTTCCGAGCGCAGAATTGGGGGTGGGGAAGAGGGTTGGGGACTCCGGGATCGGCGCTGGCTGGAGGGATTTTTCTGTCTTGGAACCCGGAGACATAACCCTGATGGGTTCCAGCAGCAACTTCCAGGCAGGGACACTCCCCCCTCCACCTCCCGCGGTATCCCACCTTCCCGCCTGCTTCCACTTCGCCTCAGTGTGATGACGAGCCCCACAAAGTGAAGGGCACCCCACAGTGTGGGGCGCCTTCTCTCCTTCGCCATCCCCCTCCCTCGAGAAATAATAGCTCTCGTCACCCACCCCAGAATAGCATCTGGTGATGCCCTAAATAACAACTCCCAGAAGGCACTTTCCCCCAAAATAAAAGAATCCAGCCACCCCCACAATGTTTCCCATCATCAGCCTCAAATAACGGTTTCTGAAAGCCCCACCGCAACCAAGATCCGGATCCTTGCGCTTCGGGCAGCCCCTACTCCTTCCAGACCGAAATGTCACTTCCCCACACGCTTCCAGTGAGACCCAGCCGCACCCAACCTCCCGGAGCAGGTCCCAGACCCCTTTCACCCTCTGGCTTCTAACTTCCCAGCCCCCCAGCCAGCCTCTGTCCACATGGAGGTCGCTCGCCCAGCCCTCCGCTGCTAGTGTCAAACAAAGCAACCAGAGAGAGCAGAGGGAGCGCGAAAAGGCCAGAGAACGCGGGCGACAAATATTAATTCCTGACCAGGCGTGAGGTTTAGTCCGCGGCAGCAGCATCCAGCGCGCCCCGACCCGCACTCGCAGGCCCCGCCTCGCCCATCCGCCCGGGTGGCCGCGGTCCCCACCCCCACGGTGCTACCTTCATTGCTGGGGCTGGCCAGGAGGGTCCGGAGAGCTGCGCACAGTAGAAGGCACGTCCAGAGGGGGGCCCTGCGGGGTGCAGAGTAGCAACCGGCCAGAGACGCAGAAGTGCTGGGGGGCTCGCCGCTGCTGCTGCCGCCGCTCGAGGGCCTCCGGCGTCCCGCACCCCGGGGCCCTGAGCCCCGCATCTTCCCCGGCCGCCTCCGGCGCTGCTGTCCGGCGCCGCTCTGTGCCCGGCTCAGCCCTCGCGCGGGGGGCGAGGGAGGCGCGCGTCTCCTCCTCGATCCCCGTGGGGTCCTTCGCCTTCTGGCACGCGGCTCCTCCGAATGCGGGAGCCACGGATCCTCTGGAGCCGCTGAAGTTTGCTCCGGCGCCTCTCTCCCTCCTTTCCAGCGGGGCTAAAGGAAACACTAGTTAGGGTTGCTGGTGCAGCTCTGTTCTGGGCGCGAGGGTGTCTGGCGAGAAGGTCCCGCGTCCCGTTCCTTTGCCTCTTAAGACTTTTTACGGATTGCAGTCTTTGAGATGCCACGAGGGGGAAAGATAAAGGCTCCTTTTCGGTTTTCAGGGTTGACATGGACGAGGGTCAGGAAGACAAGTCATCTCAAGTCAAGAAGGAATCGTCGGTTAAAAAAAAAGAAGAGGGAAAAGCCGGGTGGCTGAGGATAAAAGACGAGGAATTGAGAGGATACGGGGTATGGGGGATCGGAGCGAGGCGAGCAAAGGGAGAGACCCAGAGTTCAAAGAGGCTGGCAGAAGGAAACAGCTGCGGGCTGGGGACTGACAAGGGGAGGGTCTGAGCGCTGCCAGCGGGCAGAAGCGCGGAGCCCGGCGGCGGCCCGGAGCTGCTCGCGGTCCCCGCGGGTCGCGGAGCAGGCGGTGTGCGCGCGGCTGGGGAGGCGAGGTTGAAACTGCACCGCCACGGCGCGCTCCTGCTGTGTCTGGAGCTCCGCGGGCTCCCTCCCTCCCAGCGCTGCGCCTCCCTCCCTCCCCCCCCCTACTCTTCGCAGCTCCCCCGCCCTCTGCTGCTCGCAGTCTCGCCAGCGAGAATCTACTGTAAGTGTGAGTTGCTTAGACGAAGTAACACACCCACGGAGGGAAGTAATCTGGAGGCTGCCGTGGTGAATGTTGCCTAGCGGTCTCCCGGAAAAGCGCGTCTTCCTCCCCTGATAATTAGGGCGAAGAACGCTCCTGACGACGCCTGCAGGAGTGGAGCTCCCGGGAGGTGGAAGGGGAATCTGCCCGAGCTCCAGCGGCAGTCTTTAGAGAAGCAGGTCCCTCGCTTTGGCATATTGCCTGCTGCCCATCACTGGCTGGTGGCATCAACAACCTTGTCGTCACATACACTCGCACACGCAAGCTGTGCGGGTCCGTGGCTAGTTTGCTAAACACCCACAGCTCTCGCTGCTGCTGACCCTTTCCATTACTTTAGCAGCTGGAATGAAATAATTAGTCAATATTTTCTTTAGGAGTAAACTGTAAAATTTCTCAATTTGGATATGGGAGCTTTGATTGCGATTTCACAAAGTCAAAGGATTTGAGTATTGATGTATTGATATTTGCAGGACGCTAGATGCTTTAGGACGTGATGGTTTGATTAATTTCATTGAGGAATGTTTTAGTATTTTAGCAATTATATAATATGCAGATACATGCTAGTGAAATTAGCACCGGTCACATAATTTCAGCGGTTTGTTTTTTTTTTTTAATAACTTCTTAGGTTGTGCTATATCGAGAGATTTGCAGGTAATTAAGAAAAAAACAGTTGAAAGCAATTCACTGTACGCTTCACCTCTAGTATATCTTTTCTTGTTTTCATATTTTTCTTCAGTTTTCTCATTCAGTCTTTCAAAGAGACATCTGAAGGGCAATTTTAATATACTGGCATTAAAAAAGGCTGAGAAGAAACCATCCATAAAAAAGTGTTGATTTTAGAAGAAAGGTGTCTTGTTTAATTTGGTATGTAGTAACCACTATAAAGACTGGGGTAGCATTCACACCTAATAAAAGCAAGTCAGCTTTTTGACTTGCCTATAGCCCTGTTTGTCTTCACAACAAATTTCTCATAATCTTCAACTGATGACATTTGGTTTTCGTTCAAATATTTGCAATAAAGATGAAAGAATAAATCAGCAGTGATGCAATTTTGTAAAGAGGTGGAAGCTCATCTCTGATTTTTTTTTTTTCCTGAAATGTTTGGCACCAGAAATCTAAAAGCAGCTTCTTTCTATTATAATGTGCTCCAAATGCATGAAGCAAATTTAGAGGAATGGCAGTGAAGCAGTTTTTCAGTTTGGCAAAAAGCCTCACAATGAAATGCTAAGTTAGAATTTATGTTTCTATTTGAAAACGTTTCAAAATGTAAGCTCCTCCCCCACAATTTATAGTTGAGTTACTGAAAAATATCTAAACAGAATATCAACTAAGTTATCTAAAATCTAGAAATAAATAATAATGCTAATAGGAGAAACAGGCAATTTAATGGGGTTTTGAGATAGTTGCTTCACTTGTACAGGCCGCCATATCCTTATCAGTAAACTGAGCAATTTGGACATAGTTTCAAACTCCTTCTTTTCCATATTCCTTGCAAGCCTATGTTACTGTTTCTGTTCATCTAGCCCCCATTTGTTTACTATATACTTCAAAACTACTAAGTTTCTTCAAACTCACATTTAAATCCCTCTAAAGTAAAGGATTTAAACAAGTTTCCTATTTTATTTTACAGTAGCACTTTAAATTCAATATTCCTTAAATTGTCTCATATCAATCTGGGTTTATGTCTGTCACTCCATTCTATACAAGTTACAACCTCTAAAAATATTTCATACACACGCACACATCTCATCTAGATCCTGCCTAGTGTCCTAAGAGAATCGTATATTCAATACTGTTTTCCCAAAAAATAATTTGGTTCTCCGGAAGTATCCATAGTTTATAGTTGATGTCAATCAAAACAATGCAATGGTTTCTGAATGAAAAATTGGAACAAATTAATAACTATGCTTACACAAATATGTGTTTGTTAAAGAAAACCTGAGATACTGGTCACTATGGTGAGTAATTACGTTATCTCCTACTCAAGATAGCTAATTGAAAATACAGGAAACAAAGTCCTTTGCATTCTCCACATTAAATAACAATGATCTTTGTCATGGTTGTATAATAATACTTATTACATAGCATTGAAGAATGAACAGATGTCAAATGAAGCACCAAGGACAGTATTAAAAGTCATTTTTGGTCTAATATGAATTAATCAGCAATGGCAAGTAAGGATAGTTTGACTTGATCTTCAGTCTTAAAAGATAGCTTTTATTGGGCCATGTTTTGATTTTATGGCATATTAGTGCTTTTAGAATACTTACATTAGACCATGGTATTGTATGAAAGCTATATTTGTCTTTTTCCTTCATACATACTGTTTTGCTGCATTCATTGTACATCAAGAGAAACAACCATAATAAGCAGACTTTCTAGTATTTACTGAAGGTTTGGATGTGTGAAGATTCATGTGATGTTTAATATTAATTATTTTAGTCAATGATAACACTTCATCTATGATGTTGGTTATAATTATTAGCCTGAAGTTAATGATGAGAAGACTGAGGAAATTAGGTTAAGTGGCAGAGTCATCTCACATCTTTGTGAGAAATGGGAATTTTAACATTTAACATTTGACTCTATTTGAGAAAAATATAGCAGGAGCAACAAAAACACTTCGATAAACACTTGGTCAAAATAAGAAAAAAGAGGACTACTCAAAATTTTTGCACTAATGGGAGCAATTAACAGAGGAGCATATTCCAATTTTCAGGTTTATTTAAGTCAAAAGCAATTAACCAAATCATATAAAATATGTCAGATGAATGAATAGGATAAAATAAGAAGCAAAAATGTCTAAATATACATTACTTAGAGGAAAAAACCTATCTCATGTACACAAAAACGTACCATTTTTTGTACAATGGAGAACATGATACAATTCAGAAAATAACAAGATTGAAGTCTGTGATCAAATAATATTAGCAAAAACAAATGGCAGAAAGCCCATGTAAACTATGTAGAAAGATAAATAAGTCTTTATATAGAAAGTTTAAATAAAAACTCCATAAATGAAAGATCATTTTTTCTAAAATGCTATATACTTAGCAATTTTTTACATAATTCTTTTAGCTGTTGTGCCACTTAGCCACAGTCTTTGGAAGAATTTGGAGGAAAAATCAAAAGCAAAGCAAGAATATTGTCTCATGGTAAATTTTAGATATGAAATTATAAGATAACTCAGTAAAATTATAAGCTACTCAAAGGAAGTTCACTTTTCAGGTCCATGATTTACAAAAGAGTATAGATATTATGTTAATTATTTTGATCTGAAAGGTAAAGACTGACTAAAATATACTTAAGCAATCGATAAGTCTTGAATTTCGCATCCCAAATAATGTCAGTATATTCATTATTTATGATACATTTTAATTTATTAACATAAAGCATAAATATTTTAAAATTTGGTGGTAACTATTTTGTTTTATTAAGAATTTTTCTAAGGTCTTATAATTCCTTTTCTCTGCTAATCATCCACATTTTTACCTATTACTTTTAGATTTAATTTTATTTAAAGTTAACTATCAAGTGTTTAACATAAAAAATCAATTTTAATAAATTAATGAGGGCTTAAATATATTAATTATTTCATGACTTAATTAAAAATATTACTTATCAGAAACTTCACTTATTAAACATGTTTATATCATAATCAGCCATTATGTTTTATCTCTTTCCTAGTAATATTGAAAACAGAATAAAATTCTCCATTTTCCTGAGTATTAATACTAAGATTTTAGGGCCTCCCTGGTGGCGCAGCGGTTGAGCGCTGGGCTGCGAAGCTGCCCGCAGCCTCTGCAGTGCTGGTTTGATTTCTGGCCACCCGGCGAGGGTCCCACAAGGTGCGTAGACCTCTCCTGCCGCCCACTGCTCCCCTCGGCAGTGTACTTCATCAGTCTGTCTGTACTGTTCCCCGGTCTGGCTCTGGTGAATTCTCTCACCCTCCAGTGCTTCTGACTGTACCCTGGGCTTGCATAAATAAATAAATAAATCTTTGGAAAAAAAAAAAAAAAAACAAGATTTTAGCATAGAATAAGGAGCAAGATAGTTAAATAAATCACAGTGAACAAATTTTTATTGGTGGTGGTGATTGGATTATTTTCTAATCATTCTTTTTTAAATATTTATTTTTATTTTTAT